GTGATAAATCTGATCAACTGTGTATGTCTCCTATTGCTAGAAGAAAGTATGATCCTTGTCTTAACGATCCTGTTGGTATGGTAAAGTGTGACGACATTACTTCTAAACTTTTAATTACGGATGAACAATTCTTCCAAAACGACAGAAAACTTCTTAAAAACCTCATCATACCTCCAGGAGACAAAACTTGTGACTTCAAAGCGTGCGGGATGAACAAGCAAACACCACTCATAAAACAGCTGCCACCAGAACAGATCACTAAATGTTCGGAGCCCTGGAAATGTGTCACAGTTGTCATTAAAACTGCTCGACGCCCTCGCTTAGTTCTGCGGTTAGCTCAATCTATAAGGGATAGTTACGGATACGACCTACCTATCTCTTGCTTTGACGACGGACCAGATAATCACTCGATAGAAATCCAGCAGCAGATCTCTCAGTATCCATTATTGAACTATGTAGTGGGCAGTAAAGAGAACTACGGTATTGCAGAGGGTAGGAATATGGCACTGTCTCTAGTCCGAACCAAGTACTTCTTCCTGCTAGATGATGACATGATGTTCCTCAAAACTACTGAAATGAGTGTGATGATCGATATTCTGGACACAACCGACGCAACCGTGGTTGGGGGTGAAATGATTGACAGGGTCAATTTTGCTTCCTTGTTAAAGTTTGGGTATTTCGGGGGAACGAAAAGAAAAATGGCATACTTCATTGGGACATGTGATAGAGCAAACCGAACCGTTCCGAACTATCCTATGTGCTTTCAATGTGACTTAAACACAAACGTTTTCATGGCGAGAACTGAATCCATACTCTCGCTTGGAGGATGGGACCCAGAACTCAAAATACTAGAGCACAAGGACATCTTCATCCGGCTAAAAGCTGCTGCACTTAAAGTAGCTCTATGCAAGTACGTCAAGGTGAAACACGATCCTCCAGAAGAGGGCTCAATAGATATGAATGAGGAGTATTTGGCAAAGAGAAAAAGTAATCAAGGGAGGTTTGCCGGTTTAATGAGGAACCGGTACAATATTGAAGCTATTTTCTTTAAATTCGGACAGCAGGTTAATGATGAAGGGGAAGTGATGTTCTTGGATAAGGTTGAGGAAAATAAATTATGTTAAATTGTTGATAAGGACTGTTGAATATTGATAATGGTGTTGATACGGACTGTTGAATATTGATAATGGTGTTGATACGGACTGTTGAATATTGATAATGGTGTTGATACGGACTGTTGAATATTGATAATGGTGTTGATACGGACTGTTGAATATTGATAATGGTGTTGATAGGGACTGTTGAATATTGATAATGGTGTTGATACGGACTGTTGAATATTGATAATGGTGTTGATACGGACTGTTGAATATTGATAATGGTGTTGATACGGACTGTTGAATATTGATAATGGTGTTGATACGGACTGTTGAATATTGATAATGGTGTTGATACGGACTGTTGAATATTGATAATGGTGTTGATACGGACTGTTGAATATTGATAATGGTGTTGATACGGACTGTTGAATATTGATAATGGTGTTGATAGGGACTGTTGAATATTGATAATGGTGTTGATACGGACTGTTGAATATTGATAATGGTGTTGATACGGACTGTTGAATATATTGATAATAGTGAGTACTGACTAATTTTTATTTATGAGAATGGAGATTAACTGCTCTTTTGGTAGCATGAACTTTAAAATATATATTTCTTCAAGTTTAAAATATAATATAGATTATCAATAAATATCTCATTTGTGACATGGATATCTGAATGTTTTTATTTCTTGAAGATTCAAATGGTTTGCTCTCATTGCACCGAAACTTGTGCGAGTTTGTTGATTGATTCACAGTTTTTCAATAAATGAACAGTAGTAATCCCTTAACATTTGGGTAAAATGAGGTCCAACACTTAAATCCATGTCTCATATGCATATTAGTTAAACTTGTATACAAATGAGATACAAACCGTTTAGAATAACATTCTTAGTCAGAAAGTTTAGATACGTCAAGGCTAATACAGACACAGAGATCAGTGCGCAAATCGAAGAAAACAAGATTGTCTAGTAGCAAGTAGCTCACATTTACGCTCGCGGTATAACTATTCATAATTTTGGATGTGATTGATATTTTTTGACTCGGTAAGAAGTATCGGGAATCCGAATACTTACAACGTTGTCGTCATTGTCAAATAAAATCCATATTACTGCAGTAGTACAGAGCTAGAATGATGATGAATAGAAATTAAAACAAAACTGATTTTTAAAATTTCCTCGAACAAAGCTTTCGACCAGCAGGTTTCTAGTATTATATCTTTATATATTTTAAAGTTCATGCTAACAAAAGAGCAGTTGATCTTGTTTCTTAAGAATTGCTCGCCATTATTATTATCATCAGTCCTTATCAACAGTATCAATATTCAACAGTCCCTATCAACATGTTTTATTATTCTCCTAATCCTTATCAAAGAACATCACTTCCCCCTCATCGTTAACCTCCTGTCCGTACTTAGCGAAAATACCTTCAATATTGTACCGATTTACCAGTAAATTAGTGTACCTATAATAATTACTTTTTCTCTTAGCCAGATACTCCTCATTCCGATCTATTGAACCCTCTCCCGGAGGATCGTGTTTTACCTTGACGTGCCTGCACACAGCTAGTTTAAGTGCTGCTGCTTTTAGCCGGATAAAGAAGTCCTTGTGCTCTAGTACTTTGAGTTCTGGGTCCCATCCTCCAAGCAAGAGTATGGATTCAGTTTTCGCCATGAAAACGTTTGTGTTTAAGTCACATTGTACGCACATGGAATAGTTCGGCACAGTTCGGTTTGCTTTATCACATGTCCCAATGAATAATCCCATTTTTCTTTTCGTTCCCCCGAAATACCCAAACTTTAACAAGGAAGCAAAATTGGCCCTGTCAACCATTTCACCCCCAACCACGGTTGCGTCGGTTGTGTCAAGAATATCGATCATCACACTCATTTCAGTAGTTTCGAGGAACATCATGTCATCATCTAGCAGGAAGAAGTACTTGGTTCGGACTAGAGACAGTGCCATATTCCTACCCTCTGCAATACCGTAGTTCTCTTTACTGCCCACTACATAGTTCAATAATGGATACTGAGAGATCTGCTGCTGGATTTCTATCGAGTGATTATCTGGTCCGTCGTCAAAGCAAGAGATAGGTAGGTCGTAACCGTAACTATCCCTTATAGATTGAGCTAACCGCAGAACTAAGCGAGGGCGTCGAGCAGTTTTAATGACAACTGTGACACATTTCCAGGGCTCCGAACATTTAGTGATCTGTTCTGGTGGCAGCTGTTTTATGAGTGGTGTTTGCTTGTTCATCCCGCACGCTTTGAAGTCACAAGATTTGTCTCCTGGAGGTATGATGAGGTTTTTAAGAAGTTTTCTGTCGTTTTGGAAGAATTGTTCTTCCATAATTAAAAGCCTAGAGGCAATATCGTTACATTTTGCCATACCAACAGGATCGTTAAGACTAGGATTATTCTTTGGCCTAGAAATAGGAGACATACACAGTTGATCAGATTTATCACTGGATTTTGGTATTAGATATGAACTGTTCAGGATATCAAATTGGAAGAGATAAACGTTTTCCAGTTCTTTTGCATCACAATCGAAGAGAAGAAGAGGAGAATTCTGTTTTAAAGAATTGTATCCGACACATTTAGCAGTACGATCATATATGAGCTTGTAGTCAGTTGTGAGACTGAAACTCTGAACCTGATCAGGATCGCACCATGTCGCAACTAGATTGTGACCATCTGGGGAGTCTACACACCTGCCCATCCACCACCACCTGAGACGGTGCTGATGGAACTGGTTACCTGGTAACTTGGTAACTGATGTCTGGTTACTAGATAGCTCGGTTACCTGGTAACTTGTTCTGTTGATGCCAGTCTGCAGAGAATACAGTGACACTGATAGAAACACAATTAATAGGAGTAATGTTTTGCTCTTAGTTAACCATCTGATTCGAGTCCTCAAGAGACCCATATATAGCTTCCTGGAACTTTTAAGATTTGTCATTGAAATGTATACATAATTTGTAAAACAAAGCCAAAACTCCAAGTATAAAGAATTGTGAAATCTGGTTGCAATAAAGTACCCTTGACAACGGTGCAAGGTGACCTCATTTCAAAGGAATAATTTGATAAAAACAAGCAGGTCACAAGAAACGAAGTAAAATCACCCACTTTATATATAAATGTGTAGGGGCCTCAGTAAAGTACACAAAGTGTCCAGGTGTCGCATAATTTGGACAGTGGACACTGCGGTGGCAAGTTTAGTACAATGTTTAAGCCGACACTTTTTTAATGCGGGGAAACGTTTTTCATTAGTTTTACAAAAGTTTTATTTGTAAGATGGTACAAAGGTACAAGGTGGTTTTGTCACGTAAAAATGTCCTTCCAGTTTATTCTCCGAAAAGATTTTAAGGGTGTTAAGTTATATATTACGTTTAGTCAAAAAGAGGCAAAAAACACTAATAAACCTAGTATGTACATTGTACTATTATTTTTGGTTTGACTGCATCAAGTTATAGTTATAGGTTGTCCCAGATTTAAGGTAGTGTTCCAAAAGTTTTTCTTAATTCGAATTATTATTAATTATGACAAAACGATCGTTTAGAAATTTGTGTCAGTTATTCAACACAAAAATCAAAATTAATTTTATTAGCTTACTTCATTATCATAGCGGCCTTATTTTAACAATTTTTACTACTGAGTGGTCACTTTGATTTAATAATCTTTGCAAGTGACGATAAGATAACAGAACTTTCTCCCCATTTATTTTATTGTGTTTGCATATCAAAGGCAAGTGCAGTGGGTGCGGTGGGTGCGGAATCGCACTATTTACAAAATACCACCGCACCTACATATTGCCACCGTTGCATATAATCATCACTAACCCCCCCCCCGCCCCCCCCCCCCTCCCCCGTTGCATATCACTAAACCCCCCTCTTCCTGCAGGACGAGTTGTTCACCAGATGGCGTCCCAAGTACCAGACCAACAGTTTCTCATCCTGAACATGTGCAAGAAACACCTGCTGCTCGGAGGAGACAAGAGAATACAGTACACCCTGCCCTCCCTCGTCTTCAGAGCCATGGAGTTGTGTCGGGTCTACTTTGAGCTTAAGGAAGAGGACGAGAAGTGGGAGAAGAAGGTTTGTTCTTCTTGTTTTAATGAAAATTATCTTAATTTCAGGATTGAGGAACTGTTAACGTAGTCGAATTTCTAAGACCTATTTTATGAATTCATGCCCATAAACCCTTTATAGAAATCTTCTTTACAACTTCTCCTTCCCTCTTATACTTCATCCTAATATTGGTTAAATTAATCCTGTTAGGATTGATTTGACAGTGTGACACTATCATAGTTGTGTCTCGTCATACCATGACAAACAGATTTGTTAAATTATAATCTGTGATTTGTCACTTTTCCCCATCCAAATAAGTTATTTTTACTGTTTAGCACATAAAAGATTTTGCTACCTAAATTCGGTGGTAATACAAATCAAAGACACACATTTCAAAGTTGCATAAAGTAGAATGAAGCAAATGACACCAACACAAACTGAAAAAACAATAAACTAGTTCCCTCATCTGGGAACCGGACACGAGGGCGGAGGACACGAGGGCAATACTCATGGAAACGAGGGCGGATCTCATGATACTCATATTAAGAGTTAACATAGTAACATGAACAGTGTACACGAGGGTGGAACCAAACACCGTCCAAAATAAAGAACCAAAACCAATAATAAACTTGTAACATCATACAATTTGATTTCAACGTTTGTTTATGATACGTTGACGTCAATTCTTGTGTCCTCAGCCTTCGTGTCCTATACCCCTCTCATCTAGTTAAACCCCTGGCAGTTCGCCCATAAATAGCGTTTATAATATAGTCATGGGGACATAAATATCTTTAATAGACACCCAAATTCATCATGGTGCTCTGAGAGTCCCCCCGGATCACCAGTTCGTTTAGTCGCCTCGCCTGTAGTTCCCGTAATCTTGATCTTCTGAATCCCTGGTAAAAAAGGAGTTAAAATATTTAGAATATTTCAGACTGATCACAACTCTCTCAGACATCTAGTATTCCGTTAGCGATTTTAATTTAAAATTGTCAGGAAATTTTATTAATATGTTACTGACAAGGAGATCAGCAATACCATATAATGTTAACGCGCGTTATCAATCAGTTGACGAACGCAGTTATTTTATTGTATCACGTGACTAAGACTAAGATCACGTGACTAAGACTATCACGTGACTGAGACTAAGATATAGAATGTATCACGTGACTAAGACTAAGATATAGAATGTATCACGTGACTAAGACTAAGACTATCACGTGACTAAGACTAAGATATATCACGTGACTAAGACTAAGATATAGAATGCACTCAACCTACCCTCGTCTGTAGTTACCGTAGTCTTGCTCTTCAGCCGATCTGTGAGTTTCATTTTAAGGAAAAATTGGCGGTCGCGTGTTTCTATGACAGAATCAGGCCTCTGTATTTTAAAGTATGAAACGATCTCTCTCAAATCGAGATTTGAACTAAGAAAGTTTCTTATTAAATAATATAATGTGATTATTCAATGAGATAATATTTACCTTTTTTCTCCCCGCCTATAGTTGCCATAGTCCTGCTCCTCATTGTTGGACCTGAGATAAAAGTATATTAGATTCATAAATATCAAATATCGACCATTTACAGATATTTTGTTCTACGTTCATTGTGTAATAATCAATAATCATGAATTACTATCAATATAAATATCAATCGTGCGATTTTATATTAACACACACCCCTTGCACTTATAATTTTGAGTTAAAGTTGCAGTTTTTATTCAAACCATCAACCATCACATAATACAAATACAACACAAGATACAATACCTTAATTCCCAAAAATTTGGGCGATAAAAAATTTGAGCGGGCCTCTCGCCCAAATTTTTTGCAGACCAAATTAATTGCGTAAATCTTTTCCGTCTGCTAAATTTTTTGCTAACCAAACTTTTGGCATTTGGCCTGTGGCCCTGAAATCTATAGAAAGATGGCTTTTTCTTCATATCCAAGTGAAATAATATTTGAAATTTTAGTTTTCTAATCTGTCATTCATGGCTTGACCAATTAAAAAGGCTTATATTTTAAATGAATAGAAATTACTGGAATAGCTAACAGCTACTAATAAAACAAATGGCTAGAGGTACGGATAGCTAGAGATTTTCAGATTTAAACAAGATCTGCAAATGGATTATCATCCACCGTAAAGTCTGATCTACAAGCATCAGTTATACCCGACTTCTCAAAGCCTTTCCTTATGTCATCTGGCCTCCCTTTTAAATATACTATCTGATTGAGAGACTAAATATCACTATTGTATATATCTATCATTTTGTACTGTGCCATCATCTCTGTATTTTTTAGTAGTTACTGGGCAGATCGTAAATTTTATAATGTGAAACAACTCAGACTACCACCTACATGCTTACAATTGAAAGCAAAATGACTGGAATAATAAAGAATAATAATGAACTAAGGCAAATATCTAACTGAAATTTGGGGGGGGGGGGGGGGGGGGGGGGGCCAACCATATTAAAGTATATTAAAGTATATCCCCGGGTCAAAATCGGAAAAAATCCTACATTTTAATATACTTTAATATACCTACAATTAGAAGATTTATATTCTTCGTTAAGATTTACATGATGAACTATATTTTTCACTCAGATTCGCAAGATAAGCCTGTTTTAGGACTAGTACATGAATTTCCATCCAGATTGGTCAAAAATTGGCTGAGCTATGAGCTTTAAAAAGTATGCCCATATTTGGGCATACGCTTTTGCCCAAATTCGCTTTTGACCAAATTCGATAAAATTTCAATAATTTTTAATGAGACTAACTCTATGTGAAAGATATAACTCAGTGTTTGTTGAATATAGTGGATACTAAGTAAAAAGACCTCCATGAACAAAATTGGGAAAATTGCACATAATATCTCGGTTCGGAATACTAGCCAAAATGACTTCATTAAAATTGAAATAACTCCATCAGTTTTCAATATTTTTTCAAGAACTTTTTGGAATTGATTAAGAATTGCATTTCAAGCTTATTTTGGGCAACAATTTTTGAAGTAGGCCTCCAAGGAGATAGGGATATTAAAGTATATTGTAGGTATATTACAGTATATTAAAGTATATCCCCGGGTCAAAATCGGGAAAAATCCTACATTTTAATATACTTTAATATGGTTGGCCCCCCCCCCCCCCCCCCCCCCCAATTTTAGTGGAAAATCGTTCATTTTTCGAAGAATTTGTGCCCAAATTTTCGGTCGCCCAAATGAGTTCAAATTTTTTGCCCAAATTTTTCGGGCTCAAATAAATTGTGCTCAATTTAATTGCACACAAATTTTTGGGAACTAAGGTATACTATGTAGAAATTGATCACCTTTTGCCGCGACCACGTCGGGCACTGTAGTTCCAGTCCTGCTCATCTGCTGACCTGAGATATGGAACATATCATAAATTACCAGCGTACACTTCATGGGAGGCATTTATTCAGCACAAACAAAAAATCCAATTTAAACCTCAGAACGGTTCGTTCGTTTAATTTGTATGAAACAAACATTACTTGTGAAATTGAACTATCCTGAACCAGCTACCCCACTCACCTCTTACTGAGATCCTCCTCTTCCTCCTCTACCAGCGCCCTCCCCTCCCCCTCTTCAACCACCTGATCTGCTAACTGTAGTTCTAACTTCTCCGCCTCCTCCGCTGCTGCCCGCCTCTTCCTCCGGCACTCCAGGTCGTACCTCATATTGTAGCCGGTCAAACACTCGTCTCCGTCCTGGTGTTGTGAGGTTAAGTTTACGAACAATTTTATTGTCCCCTTGCTTTTTTAATGCCCTGTATGCCATGTGAATAATAGTGCGCGGATCAGGACGGACTTTTTTGTTTGATTTGGATTAAACTATTTCAAGATACATAAAAATCTTGCTCAAACCATAAATTCCATTGCCAATGGTCCAATAATATGAAAAAAGTAAAAAGTAAAAAGTACGCTTATACTCACAGCTAAGGCATTATCGGACTCCGAAGCGAGACTCGCAGATTGGGCCACGCCCAATATCAGTGATAGAACGAGGAACTGAGACATTCTTTAGTGAGATCCCAGAGCTTACTGACCTATTTGTGTGGAGGGAAGCGTTTTAATACGATCTTGTCCCAAGGGAACCGCCCCACATTTTACAATTATCTCCCCTATAATCGTTCATTACGAGGCTAATTTTTGGAGCCTTGTTTGGGTTTTCGTGCAGTCTTTAGCCAGAGAAATGCTGCAACGAACGTTTAACTCTGTTTGCAAATACAAACACCTGACTAACAATAATGCACTTGAACAGTTTAAAAACAAAGATTTTACCATCAGTTATTTATCGAAAAGAAAATTATAATCGATTACAACTACGGGACTTTTTTTCTCTGATAAATGAGATCATTGTCTGTATTTACACTAAAATAAACCGCGTCTTCGATAATGGTGCAACAAATTTAGGGAGCATCACGATGTACCTGCTAAAACTGCAATATTAAATCTTTTTGTAGGAGAAATCCATCGACTAAACTAATAACTACGTTGCATCATTTGTCTGTATTTGCACTAAAACACACCAGCGTCTTCGATTTAAATGATTCAACAAATTTAGGGAGCATTACGATGTACCTGCTAAAACTGCAATATTAAATCTTTTTGTAGGAGAAATCCATCGACTAAACTAAAAACTACGCTACATTATAAAATTGAAATAGAAATCCGTCGATTAACTGGTTTTGTTCAACGTTTTAGTAAATCGAGCGGGCAATGATTGGATTGCTTATAACTTGCTCGCTCACTGAGTCCTTACAATCTACAAATGTGTTCCTAAGGAAGTGATAGCAAAGAATCGAAGCAAAATTACGACCGTTCAACAGACTAGGCCACGACCATGTTATATTGGATTAGCATTTAGCAAGTATGGAGAATACTGTGAAGGGTTGATGATAATGATATCACATACGACCAGTTTCATTGTCACAGACTATGGTTTACTTCACAAATTCTTCTCATCACATCAATAGATTGGGTGACTCGTGGATCTGAATGGGCCTTGCTTCATGTGAAGGTAGAATCCAATACAGATTCATAGCTCTCTCAACAATTTCCAGGAAACTAATCCACTATATTATATGCCCTAGCCTAGTGAGTTTGTCTTATCCGATACAATCAACTAAAGAATCATCCACCTTGAGCAAACCCAGCAAGACTGTTAGTGTTAAGTGTGGCTAGAAAGAGAAAACTAGTTTTAAAATATAAAAATTACCGACACGTGGAGATTCCTCATGGATTAAAAGACTTTTAGCGCACTTGTTTCATTACAAATCATGACGAGAAAAGCTTTCCCCCGGAAAGTCGAATAGATCTATATCACTTGAAAATAGGAGATTATGTCACTTTCAATATTGAAGGGTTTTTGGGGAACTGTCATTCCTCACTACCAGTCAATAACCGCGCGGTCAATAACCGGTCAATAACCGGTAATTAGTGGCGAGAAATGACGTAATAATCGGTGGAAAGGGACATTCTTTAAACAGCATATGTCAGAACTCTGGATCTACCATTCAGAAATACCTTCATTATAATCGGCTTATACCCCTCGTGATGCCCATATAAGGTAATAATTTGCCATTGATCGGCTACTCGCAGGCTGACATTATTGTCAAAAACGATGCCTTTAAAAACGCTGTTTAAGGGTATGGGCAAATTACGGTAGATTGATTTGTAAATATTTATTTTTCGCCCTGTCATAGTATTTATATTAGTATATTCTAATTGTATGTTACTGTCAAACTGGAAAATATGACGCAAAAATAATTTTGCGTATATGTTACCATAGCAACTTAAAACTCTGGATGAACAAACGTGCACGTGGACACAAGCTAAAATGTACAAACACCTTGTTTGCTAACCCTTGTCCTTGACTCTTTTGTGCCTACGGCACAAGAGTCATTGATCGAGAAAAATTCAAAACCATCACGTTCCCCTGCATGTAACTATTAAAAAAAGACAAGACCTAAAACTGAATACTGATCAGTTAGGTGGACGGCAGAATTTTATACCAGTCCGGACCTGTAGAAACATACTGGTTCCAACATAATCCCATTCAGGATAAACAGAATGGACAGTCGACCACTGAAGGTAAATCCAGGATCCATATTTCTAAGAACTGGGCAATTTCAGACTGGAAGTCTAATCTGCACTGAAATTAGAGGGTTGGACTAGAGAGATCACTATACTTATAAGAAAGTCGTTTGCCCCTCCCTAATCTCCTAAGGTCGGATCCATTGTACAACAAGAATTTCGCCGCGGTTACACCACGCACGATCAAACCTCCCTACAATGTAGTTGTACCAGTAATGTAACTGGCTGGAAATATAAACAATGATTTCCTTGCCTTAAACTCAAGTAACTTTGATAGACCACTCAAATTATCTGTTTAGTGAGGCTTATGTCTGCTATAAAATGTCTAGCCCTGGAACTGCTGGACCAAGCAAGTAAGTTTATTTTTCAGAGATCTGGCAAATGACCAGGTTTTGAGCTAGTTGACTTAATTGAGATACCAACCCCAGCCATTGAAACTATTTTTTCTGATTTTCTAAACATAACTCCCCTGACTAATCACGTGATCCCCAATCACGTGATCCCTAACCACTCATCCTGACTGCAGTCTAACAGTGGAGTTCCCACCTACGAGTGGTGGCTGAGAGGTGGCGCGCCTGAGAGGTGGCGCGGTGTATGCAGAGGCGTACTCTCAGGCGCGCCACCTCTCAGCCACCAATCGTAGGTGGGAACTCCACTGTAACACTCAGCTACCCACTGTTACCTACTGCTATCTAGTGCTACAGATATACTGATACGACTCGACCATGGGGTAGTCGTTGCGAGTCGAAGTAAATTATTGTAAGTTGAACGGACCGGCCAGCTTTATAATCATTGCTAGGGTTGTTATACGTCACCTGAATTAATCAAATCGGTTTGTCTAAATATAATATGTTCATCTCCATTGCTTGATCAGGAGCACCTGGCAACAGGGTGTCAGCTAATTATCTCGATCTAATAGTATAACCCATGTCTCTATACCTGCCAGAATATCAAGGGTCCCCGTGAGTTTTGCTACTTTAGCTGGGCTGAAGTGTCATGATTGCACTGTTCTCTCCGAATACGATTACTCCAATTTCGTCAGAAAACAAGCTGTGATTTGATTTATTGCGAGTTGGGACTATGATTATCTACCAGGACTTTGTTAATCGTCAGTAGTGTTACGTGTCACGGCTTTGAACAACTCTTGTGACGAAGCTTTGGTGGTATTGATTATTGAAGCTGCGGTACAAGTGACAAGACCTCCTCTTACACAAGAGTAACATGCGTTTTGGCAGGCTGCATAATGAATATTTAAAGAGAGCTAAAGGTCAAACGGAATGCTGATTCACGTGAATAATCAATACGTGATCGGTAATTAATTAATTAAATGGTCCAAATTGTTATCATATCAGTCATTAAAAGATTAAACAGTTAACGTGTAAATCAAAATTTGCTCACGATAAAATCTAATAATAAAAAGCAACTAACATATTATTATGTCGAGATCATATTTTATTTAATTGTTGATACAGTATTAGTACTACTGACTTACAGTTAGTCATAACTCATAGTGCTTGTAAGCCGAAGCGTCAAATCTGATTTTGAGTATCTGAAAAGTTAAATTATTTTCTTGAAAGTTTTCGAAATTCCTTGATGATATCCGGCCAAGTAGCTACGAAACCGGATCCAATGGGATGTCAGATAAATTTCCTCACTTAATTCCCTGTTAATTATTAATCGGATATAACTTCATTGATATAATCTATACTCACTAGTCTAGAAAATAGTAAATACTGTAGCCTCCCGATCCACAAATCCAGTAGACGTGACGTACTGACGTCTCCATATGCATACTTCAGGTTTGCAAGATACTGCAGTACATAAACTCATTACTGTCCGCGCTGGTCAAGGCAGAGTACTGGGACTTAGCACTCAGACTGTTCCTACAAGCGTCTCTTATATGCGATCTGATGGGTATATCAACTGCAGGCAAGCAAATAGGATTATTAATCAGCTCTATTTAGTTTTTAAGGAGATTCATACGATTCGTAGTATTGCTCAGCCATTTAATTGCCCCTATGCCCTATCAAGTTAAGATTTCTTTAAAACTGTTAAAAACCCATTAAATTCTTTGATTAAAACCTTGAAAAAATAACACACGAGTTAACAAATAAATTCATCATGAACACTGTAAGTACATCGACATTAAATGTCAGACCTTTACAGAGACGATAGCGTACGAGTTTGTTTCGCGAGCGTTCGCGATCTACGAAGAAGAAGTAAGCGACAGTAAAGCCCAACTTGTGGCTATATCCCTCATCATTGCTACATTTGAACGGACGATTAATTTCAGTGAAGAAAATCACGAGCCCCTCAGAAGCCAGGTTCGTCTATTGTTTTGGTATTTTTATTTGTTTGTTTGTTGAACGACGAACTAGGGCTTTTTATTGAGTCTAATAATAATAATAATAAGATCTTACCAGTTGCATTGTACACTGACACACTCAGAAGGAACATGTACGCGGATAACGGCAATGGTGCGAAAAAGTTCGGCCATTCCTCTGCAGTCTGCATCCATCGCGCTTACATGTTGAACACACTGCAACGTTAAAAACTAATTTTTGACGAAGTAAACCATTTCAGTGTTTAAGAGCAAGCAGCAAACTCCTGAAGAAACCAGATCAGTGCCGCGCAGTTAGTTTATGCGCGCACATCTATTGGTCAGGTTAGGGTTATTCAACTTTCTTGTTTCTTTATTTAGAAAAACATTGATTTATTTAACAAATTATTCTACCTTTAACAACCGATTTACCGCGGAGTCAGCTATTCCAGCAGCTGCTACTAAGTAAATTGTCATTAATACCGCATGGAATTTCTTAATTGTGCAACAGTCCTAGCTGTGAACTCTTTACTTCAGTGATCAATTGATATGATACCTTATTATACATCAAATTAAGCTAGCGAATAATGGACCACTTCCTGGTTTCAAAGTCCATGTTTTCATAAAAATCAATGGAGATATAACTATAATATAATAACCCTTATAAATTATAATAAATAAGATACATTTGCAAAAACTAGATAGGATTGAAAACCGTGGATTATGTCGTCACTCTTAGTAGAACGCATGCACTAACTATTGACATTGTCTCACGAAGCTACACAATACACATCACGTACATGTAATGATGGAATGTAGGTCGTTACAGAAGCAACATCAGTTAGCTTGTACCGTCATGAGCTAGTTTATTTTCTAATAGCTATCTGCAACATCAGTCAGCTTGTACCGTCATGAGCTAATTTATTTTCTAATAGCTATCTGCAACATCAGTCAGCTTGTACCGTCATGAGCTAATTTATTTTCTAATAGCTATCTGCAACATCAGTCAGCTTGTACCGTCATGAGCTAATTTATTTTCTAATAGCTATCTGCAACATCAGTCAGCTTGTACCGTCATGAGCTAGTTTATTTTCTAATAGCTATCTGCAACATCAGTCAGCTTGTACCGTCATGAGCTAATTTATTTTCTAATAGCTATCTGCAACATCAGTCAGCTTGTACCGTCATGAGCTAATTTATTTTCTAATAGCTATCTGCAACATCAGTCAGCTTGTACCGTCATGAGCTAATTTATTTTCTAATAGCTATCTGCAACATCAGTCAGCTTGTACCGTCATGAGCTAGTTTATTTTCTAATAGCTATCTGCAACATCAGTCAGCTTGTACCGTCATGAGCTAATTTATTTTCTAATAGCTATCTGCAACATCAGTCAGCTTGTACCGTCATGAGCTAGTTTATTTTCTAATAGCTATCTGCAACATCAGTCAGCTTGTACCGTCATGAGCTAATTTATTTTCTAATAGCTATCTGCAACATCAGTCAGCTTGTACCGTCATGAGCTAATTTATTTTCTAATAGGCGCGATTATTTTCTGATTATTACCAGGACGCCGAGACTTTTTGTTTGTTTTACTTTTAGAACTTTATTTAAAGTTATTATATTGATTATTGTAGACATGCTTCGTAGTATTTTTACTGCGTTGAACTTTTAATTTAATTTTAAGAAGCTTCAGTTTTTAGCAGTTTTAAAACACCATGGTTTACCAGTTCGGATTCTTTTAAGATAGTTTTACGCTTAATTAAAGTCATTATAAATATAGTTTTAAAATATTTTCCGATTGTTAGATAGTTGGTAACATATAAGAAAAATAACTATGTGACTTACTACACTTCCTCACATATAACGAGCAGTGCCCACGTTTTTATTATTTAGTGTAACTACCGCAGTTCAAATCAATCGTTATTAACGATCTTCACTCATTTATTTTAGTGATGGAATCATCTCTGACGCTCGCCGTTCAAAGGAAATCAACGTTCGCATCGAAGGCCAAGCAGGACACCAAAGTTCTTAAAGAAATCCTGAGTCCTGGGACAACAGGAGATCTATGCCTGATAAAAGACAGTGACCAATTGGAGTATTTAAAGGATCCAATTGGTTGGATTGACTCGTACTCTGGTCACGTGACAGACTTTGAAGAGGATCATCACTATTTAGAATATGTTATCGGTCTGCTGGAGATGATTGTGAGAAGTTCGCCTTACAGGGCTGATCTTCATGACATCTATACACCTATCCTCCTTTTACAGAAGATCGTGACACGGGAAGAACTGATGCTGCGTCGAGATCCAATGAGGACTGCTCTGAGACTACAGTATCGTCTTAGAGTGTACGCAAAAATAGAGAACGACAACAATTCTATCTGCGATAGAAAGATAGAGGATCTTATGAAGATTCCCAGAGATTTCGCCCTCTCGTTAATGGAGGCTTGTGTAACTCCCATTGAGGTCATCAACCTAATGAAAATGGAGGACGAAACCATGTTTGGTGACGTGCTGAAATCTCAAAACACTCAACTTGTCGCCTCCAAGATCTACCAAAAACTGTGGTGGAAGAAGTTCCTGGGATACGACTTGACTGATAGATATTCCCATTTAGGAAATATATTTGAAAGAGCACTTCACGCAATGATAGGAATAGCATTCTTTCTCCTGTGCAACATTTTCTACCTGCCTTATTCTCTCTACCTCAGCCTCCTCTGTTCCGCAGAAGAAAGAGAAAAGCACAGAAAAGTGTTCTTCTCCCCCTACTCATCCTATCTAGCTGATAGAATGAACTACACAATGCTGATAGCTCTTCTCTGGTTCGTTATCCTAAACACTAGCCCTGATCTTGACTCAACCTATGATCTGTTGAAAGAGCTGAAAGAAGGTAGAGTTACAGCAGAGAATAACACTAACTTGGAGGTGACAGAAGATGGAAGCATCTTGGTGATGCTCCCTCGCCCGGAGATACCTCCTGCTGAGATTGTTCTGTGGGTGTGTATGTTTGGGATGGCACTTTCTGAGTTTTACCACGTAATTCAAAAGAGAGGTGGTACATTCCTCAAAAGGTACATCAGCAACTTCTTTAACGTAGTAGATGCTACTTTTCTGCTTCTGTTGCTTGCTGGAATGGTCGTTAAGTTGGAACTGTATACAAGACCAAGATCTAGTATATACGGAGTCTACAATGATGATGTGAGTTTAAGTACTCTCCGCGTGCCAAAGGGTATGGAATTAACGATTTATCTCTACAGTTTGGGAGCTGTTGTAGCACTGGTAAACATGCTCCAGATATACACAATAAACATTCCAAAACTCGGTCCTTTAATCCAGTCTGCTAGAGAAACATTTGCAGCAGCTTCATCGCTGATCTTCTTGTTTGCATTCTTCGTTCTAGGATTCATTGTGCCTATGATGGGTATGTTCTCGTGCTACAGAAAAGTTCACGGCATGGAAGACAGCAAGAAGGATTTCTTCTACTTTTCAACTTTCGGTAACACTGTTATAACTCTGATGTGGACAATGTTTGGTGGTTTGGCAGCCAACCACAGAGATAACCTGCACAGGATGGATAAAGATGATGTGGCCACTGTCTTTATGATCCTTGTCTTCCTGCTCTACGCTATTATCCTAGGTGTCCTTTGTGTCAACTACATCTTCGTTATTATGATTCAAGTGTACAACAAGGTCCACGCTGACAAGGATGCGCACTGGCGTTTCTCTCAGTTTACCTCTATCATGCAATACAGCGCTGTGAGGAATCATGGGAATTTCTCAATGCCCTTCTTAGTTCCATTCTGCATACCGTACATAGTGTATGAATTGATAGCCAAGCCTTGTCGGAGGACCAAGGAAATCAAGAGTGAGAAAGATAACGAGTTTGCAAGATTTCTCTGTAAATATCGCCTCAAACAGGGCAGTGAACAAAGAACTGGCTGATCACGAAGAGGGGTAAAACTAAAAGTGAAAGTAAACGATATAATGGGATGTACGTATGTCGCTAAAGAAATAGAGAAAGATAACAACTTGAAAGGAAGCAGTATAAATTAATTTCAAGAAGAGTCTAGTAGGATCTGGAGATAAACATTTTTCAACTAAAATTTCAATTACCGAATACAGACGTCTAATGTGGACAGTGGACACTTATCTTTATAATTATATTGGACTCTTTTCAGATCACTATATATACATATATATGTACATACGTTTGGAAATCATTTAGCACTTCTTAATTTAGCTATATGGAATTGGAGACCAATTATATTCTCTTGGCCAATTGGAGACCAAGTAGGCACACATTCTTTTTACAATTTTTCATAATATAACTCCCTAAAATTTTCGCCGCCCTTCCGCACTCATTACAGGAATGAATGATACGAAGACCATTCGTTTCTTTACAAATTTAAGCTGGTCCCAGCATGCAGCTTTTGGCTTTGTGTCACCAGGCTCTTAAAGTGTAACGATCCATAATGATACTGGAAACTTCTGGGGTTTACAAGCTATCATTATGCATCATTAATTATAAAAGACCTTAATATAGTCTTCCGCAAGGGCTGCAATCACCGGATTGTAGGTTGCATGTCTAGGTTTTTTCTTCCATGTCGATGCGGAAAAGGTACAGGAGATCACCTACTCCACGATGGCATCTGATACAATACAATACAATACAATATATACATATTTAACAAATACTATTTACATAGATTCCTCATCCTTTACGACCTTCTCTCCGAGCTTGTACAAATTTCGAACATTGGTGTCAATCACTCCAGTCGTTTTTATTTTCCCCGATATGAAAACCCAAGATGAACATAAATATTGTCTATTATATAGATCGAAACGTTGAAATTTCGAGGGGGGGTATGCAACGACCATTAATGTCAGTAGATGGAATTTTGTCAAAACTGACATTGTCATTAATGGTCATTAATGGTCATTAATGGTCATTAATGGTCATTAATGGTCATTAATGGTCATTAATGGTCATTAAATAATTGAAATTCTGAACTATCTTGGAAGCAACATGTCCAAGAAATTTACAATTATGATCACTTTGTATCACTTCTATAAAGTTTCTCACAGCCCCCTACATCGATTGCCAGAGTCTCGTTTGAGAAAACGAATTAATATTCGCCTAATAGAGGCTCGGACCTCGGTTTCGTAATGAGTGCCAAGCACCATTCTGTTATACGTTGGTAACTTGGCTTGTCTGTTTGCTTGTTTGCATTTGACTTAGTATAAATGCTTGTTTGCAGTTGACTTAGTATAAATGCTTGTTTACAGTTGACTTAGTATAAATGCTTGTTTGCAGTTGACTTAGTATACATGCTTGTTTGCAGTTTGCGTGGATTTGAATTGTATTGATTTCCTTTATTTGTGTTGATTGCTTTTGATAATTTGGATTTTCAATACCTCCTCACAGTACCTTCTATGCCATCGTAAGACGATATTTGGAAATAAAAGTCGGAGATCGAAATTTTTTGGTACCGGCTGTTTCGAGGGTTCTGTGCCATACCAACCGGGCTGCAAAAATTCTTCTAAGCCCTGTCAACGTCGAACAATTCGAAAGGGTCATTAAGTGCTACCTTTGTTCCAAAAAATGCTAAACGTCCCCTTCGTTGCCTCGGTACCATCTTATCAATGAGTGTCTCTGCTTCAAAAAAGGGCAACTGCAGATCTAGACGAATTCCTGCCGCATCAATTTGTCCCTATCACGATGACAGTGCTCGATTTTGGGTCAAAACTTTAAACTGCCAAAGGCAGAGTATTGAACTGTAAACGAATTGTTCTATCTAATCCTAGGAAAAGATCAGCTTTTTTGTTGTCCGATTCAGACTGATGACGATGTATTTCATGAAGTGCTAAAGTTGAATAAGTTCATCTACTGTGTAATTACTATATAATCGACTAGCATAATGATTTGGCTAAAATATAAATCTTGATATGATATAAGAACGGGAACGAAGTATTTAATTTTAATACCCGTGTTATTATTATTTTATTATTGATTGTTATTTTACTATTGATACGATCTGATACTCCTAAATTGCCCTTTGAATTATTATTATTGATAACTATAATAAGTCACCAACTGTTATCTGGTTTAAATCCCGTGGCCGCAAAATTTGTTCTTCATTACATTCGAACTTAATAAATGTAATCCCTAACTCACTCTGGAATCCACTCAAGTGATATTCTGGAAGGTCTGCCTAACCACGGAAGATTCTATTCTAAGTTTTCTCTTTCGAATCTCTAATTGTAAATGTAAAATAATAACATATACTTGTAGTTAGTTAACTTAAGGTAGGGTCTAAGTGATGCAGGCGTCCGTCCTTTTCGCTCTAAGAAGTGCCGGAAAAAACATGACCATTAATGTCAGTAGATGAAATTTTGACAAAACTGACATTGTCATTAATGGTCATTAATGGTCATTAATGGTCATTAATGGTCGTTGCATACCCCCCATTTCGAGGTTATAGAATTTCTATTAGAATGGTATCTGCTAGAAATCATGATAAGAAAATAATTTCAGGAATGTTAAACCAATATTTACCAGGTAAAAATAGAGAGAACGAAGGGAGTCCGATGAACGAAACAAAACGTGTTTTAGATAGTATGAAGAAGGCTGTACGTATCAGTAATCAATGTATGGAACCATCCGTCCAGGTATTTTATCATGCTACTTAGCTTCGATTTGTGTAATCACATAATGAAATTTCTTTTATATCGTAGTTAATTTACGATTTAATATTGAATTTGCTTTATTATTCAGCTCAGGAATTTGACTTGTGACTATGATTATTTGAGGCCTGTCTTCTTAATACTATCGATAATATTTGATAGCAATTGGAATTTCAATGATAATTTATCATATTATTATTACATTTCTAGGTACAGCTGTTCGTGGAATTACTCAACAAATACATCTACTTCTTGGACAATGGCTGTGCAGATGTGAGTCTTAAATTTACTCACAGTTCAAAAACTTATAATACTCTTCAAAAAGATAACAAATCCTTAAATACCAGAAAACTTAGCAAAAAATGCATCAATTTTCGATTAAAAAAATGTTCATTTACTTCTCAACACTTTAACATTTTCTTAACAACAAACTGTGTCCCAGGTGACGCAAGCAATGATATCCCAGTTAGTGGGTAAAATCCGGGATGACATGCCTGGGCTGGAGGCCGGAGAAGCTACCAATCAGATCGTTCAGCATTTCAACAGCACACTCGCTTACATCAAATCAAAGCACGGCATGGACTTTCCTGCGTCGTAGTTTTAAAGTTAAGGGACTTAATTTCTGGACGTTTATTTTACGGACGGAAGAAGTACTGGACGCTTGATTATGCGAGTACGGTGTGGACACAGGACTTTGTGGAATGTGGATCAGTTAAAAGTGATGACTTCAGTTTGTTTTGTGTTTGACTACTTAATTTTTGTTGTTGATATTTACTGTATTTTTGTGAAAAAAAAGAGAAGTTTTTACGTAGCTCAAAGTTTGGCAGTAGTGTTGAAGACTGTATTTTGAATAAATAAAGATTTCAATTGGTTAAATTATTTTTAATTCTGTTACTTTTCATCTTTAAAACGCATGAGATCTGCTTACAATTACATAACCATTAATCGTATGATTGTCGCTGACATTTGAAATAGAAACTTGAGAAAGCAACATAGACATTAGACATTTGTGTTTCTTGTTTCTCTTTGAGTACCAAACTTGGTGAAAAGGTTACAAATATCTTTTGGCCCGGGCTTTTATTTCAAATGAAACATGAAATATTGTCCAGTAGTGGATAACAAATATGGAGGAAAATATAGTATTGCCAAATTGGCGAATGAACTTACATTGTATATCACAATGTATTTAGGTTTGTAGTCACGTTTATTAAACTTAGGTTTCGCGATGTTTTATCTTCCTCTCTATTTACTACTATCTACGAGTCAGGGTGTTCGGAAATCCGAATATAATAAGAAGTTTTAGTGGATTTTTGAACAAATTATAAAGGTTTTTTATTTTATCTATCCCCACACAAACGACTTGAAAAAATAAATGTTATTTCGTTTCAAATTCATCACCCTGGCCTTAGATTGACTTTTGATGAAAATTTCAAATTGTGCCCATAGGCATAACTGTCGAAAATAAGAAATTAGGCCCGGCGCGAGAAGAAAGCAGCGCGCGCTACTTCGAAGAAATTTAGACCAGTAACATCCTGGATTCCTGGAAGCGATGAAGTCGTTAGAACCAGATAAACGGGGATGGGATAAGGTAAAGTAGGCGGCAGTTACTCCGAGGTTAGAGTGAGCGAACTTCACGGCTGTTCCGTACTGGGCTTTACCACCGTATATACAGGGAGGTGCCAAATCACAAATCGTTGTTTGAATGTGGGACAATTTGGAAAAAACTTAACTACTTTACAGTTTACACCGTATGTGATAAATTGGGTCAGGAATATCGAAGAGAACATTTAACTTCCTGTATGTTAAATTCTTAGAGTTAGATCACTGATCTATTGGGTCAGGAAATTCGAAGAAGATCAACTTAATAACACCAGAATGTGTGTGTGTCTGTCTGTGTGTCTGTCTGTGTGTAATTTCCGAACGGTTATACAAAAAAAACGGTAATAGTTACGGGACTGGTTTTTTTGGTATAGTCCCGACAAAACTCTGATGAAGCCCATAAGCAAATTTTTTTTAAATCGGCCGATGGTAAGTGGTTTAATTGATGGTTTTGTACCACAAAATATGTTACATAAAATGGCTTGAGAAGAACGGCAAGAGTTACGGGGCTAGCTCTCTCTCTCTCTCTCTCTCTGCATATGTAGCGTATATACTACATGGCGTATATATTACATGGTCATATGATACTATAAACTTATTAGGGGAGGGAGTGCTCAAACGGTCTGTTTGGACTGTAGAGAGAGTTCATACTTTCATACGACAATGTAATGCATGTTCACAAATATGATAGGCTGGTGTGGTGCAGGGTTAATTTCTATTGATTATTGATTAAGAATTACTATTTTTTAAGCATACTATTGGATACGTGAGGGCACTTCGAATACAATTGCTCGCCTAATCCGGGTTTTGACTCAGCGGGTAATTACTCCTTCCCCTATTTAACTGCGGCAGTGAAATCCCGGCCGTAGGCCGGGTTACACTAGTATTTATATAATTATATGATAGGAATGTGTCGTCGATTATGCTCACAACTTTCCTGCACAGAAAAGCGTATCCCTCGTAGTCGTACGTAGTGAAAACCGGGTCTACAAATATTTATCCTCCTAAATTTGTTGATCGATCACCTTTAAACTTTCGGAACATGTTTAGGAGATCATTTAAAAAGATTGGATCTCGGCCATAAATAATGTCGATAACAGTTTACAATATGTAATTTTTGAGATGGCTGGCTTTTTTAAGCAGATACTTAATCATTATACTAGTGTAATCATTTGGAAACTCCCCTCTCCCCTGGCGTCGGCTGATTACGTAATATGTGAACGACCCCTTTGATTTCATTTTAAATTGTTGGCACTGAGTTTACTGTTTTATTAGAAATTTCTTTCAAAGAATCATCAGCAGTTGAAATTGTAGTACGTTGTTTTTTATAAAGTAGAGAGCAGTTGGAATTTGTGTTATCTGGACAATTAGATTATCATTCCGTATGTGATCTTACATCACTGATCTATTGGGTCAGGAAATTCGAAGAAAATATAGGAAAGGAGTGTGGACTATTTTAGTCCCTATACGCTTATTCTGCGGGATATTTTGTTAATTAGATTTTAGCCAATCTTAGCCAATTTTCATCTCACATACGAGAGATCATGCAATAAGGTTAAACGCCGCCGAGGTTAATATGATACATAAACTCGGCTAAATTTAACTACGTATGTGGTTAATCGGGTCATGAATATCAAAGAGAACATTTACCGTCACGTTCATTTGAGTTTGAGGAAATAATAGCGTTTTCGACGATAGTGGCTTAATTTTTTCATCTATTAACCTAGCACGTTCAGAAGTTCTGATTATTAGCCTGTTAGTCACGTGACCCATACTCCCATCTCCCATATGCACTGCTCAGAAATAAAATTTATTGTTGTTTGGCAGCGCACTATAATGTTTAAAATGTCACATTTTTGTGACTTACTGACTTAGTTAATTGTAGTCTGAAATATAGTAGATTATGTCAATCTAACAATTATAATACGCCATTAGTTAAAGGGTCCTCATGATCCAACGGCAATATTTGGTTAAATTTGTCACACTTATAATACGATAGCTCTTTTTTTTACTGTATCATGGTGTCCACGAGAACCTTTTAACTCATTATGTGATATTTATTCTATCGATTGCAGCCCTTAAATATATTAGTTCCCTAATACACGCACTTGGTTATTGATATTTGGTTAATAAGGTTAATTTTGTCACATTTTATGGCATTTTAAATTTTGGATGCATTGCCGAAGATTAGGTACCAGATAATTTCCATAGTGAGCCCACATGGTTATATTTTACTATATGATTATGTATTATGTAAAGACGATGTTCATATATTTCTGTTACCATTTTACTGACACTGTACGGCATCAACTTTAACATAAATTTTCACGAAAACCGTGAGAGATATACCATCGAAAATCTTTTGGTCGGGTCTAATGTTTTTATTATAGTTTATACTTTATAAGCATTTCGCCATGAGCCTGTATATTGTCATTGAGCAACTCAGCAACCTGCCTCTAAGTTTTGTGTAGTGTTACTGTTATCAGGGAAAGTATTTTTCTCGTACCATTCAACAGACAGAGTGGCATCACAGTCTTAATTGGACCGTTAGGTTTTCTTGGCTTTAGAAGAGGAGTCAGAAAGCCTTCTGAAAATGATGAAAAATGTTCGTTGAGCTCAAACGAACGATTTATGATGGACGCATATCGCATATTGCTGTCAGCTGTGCATATTTTACGAGCTCATTTGGTATCTGGTCTGGACGAACAGCATTGCCGTATTTCAACTTGGATTTCATACCACAATATTTGCCTCCTTATAAAATATTTGCATCATCGCACGCAGCATTGCAAATAAATCATAAAATGGCAAATATTGTGCTAAGATTAAGAATGGCGCATATTTTGTTAACGCGGCGAACATTTTCGTAACATGGCAATGTTGCAATCTCGGAGGGGGCTTTGTGAAAATATCCTATGAACTGTAAATTCAAAATTTGTGTCAAACACGGCAGCAAGGGGCCATGTTAACTCTGTTACTGTTAGTTTTTATAATGTGACAAAGTTTACAACTCACTGCCGGCCGAATTTAAGCGATATCTGATCACGATATCGTTATATGACAAAATTTGCCTAGAGGATGAGACGATTATCCTAATCATTATCCTAATTTTAACCAATATCCTCAAACTCCAATGAATGTGTTCATAATCCATATAATCCTGCAGAGTGCAGACTGCTAACCTATTATTGTCCAGGTCACCGTCAATGGTCAAGGTAACAACAATTCCATCCGCCCTCTACTTTATGAAAAACAAAGCATAAGTTTCCTGTTTATTAATCCATTTCTTTGATAAATAGATTCCACATATTTTCATAATCTAATATCCGAGCAAGGTACATGTCTCCTGAATTCTTCAATAATGTTTAAAATCTTTTCCTAGATCGAAAAACACATACCTTCGCTGTGACACAAGGCAAATTTCCGTTGATTCATAATTATTGGGGGCGGAGGCTGCATTAAATCACATAAGGTTCGCGACTGAATTTGTAAAAAAATATTGGCGATTGACCGTTCTCAAATGCAAAATGATACCGAGCATGTGATTGATGTAATTAATCAAAACGTATTACTATTAGTATTCGTAAGCCGTAAATGAATGGGAAATTAAGCGAGCGACCGGTCAATCAAATTAATATCATTTCCTTTTGTTTGGGAAAGAGAGACACTGGCGTCTGGCAGCGGTCCACTCTACCCATGATTATGGGTTTTGCACACAGCTATTGTGTATTGTGTCAAAATTACACTAGTGTAATCATTTGGAAACTCCCCTCTCCCCTGGCGTCGGCTGATTACGTAATATGTGAACGACCCCTTTGATTTCATTTTAAATTGTTGGCACTGAGTTTACTGTTTTATCAGAAATTTCTTTGAAAGAATCATCAGCAGTTGAAATTGTAGTACGTTGTTTTTTATAAAGTAGAGAGAGACTGTAGAGTGATTTAGCACGCTCGAGAGCAGTTGGAATTTGTGTTACCTGGACAATTAGATTATCATTCCGTATGTGATCTTACATCACTGATCTATTGGGTCAGGAAATTCAAAGAAAATATAGGATAGGAGTGTAGACTAATATAGTCCCTTATTCAGTCGTTGATCTTGATCATGACCTGAATAACTAGATCACATAATTAAATGAAAGTTTCTTACTGCACTGATTAGATCCCAATTCCTAACTGACTTGTTTAGACGAGCGACCCAAAGAGAAGAAGAACGCTGGTAAGCTGGCTACAGCAGGGTATTAGCGTAGTACCTTATCGGACCTTATTTGGACGGACATTACTTGAACAATGAACGCTGGAGGCCTTAGCGTTCATCTTAATGTCCGTACAAATAAAGTCCGTTCAATTAATGTCCGTCCAAGTTAAAGTCCGTTGAAATTTTTTCTCCTTGGTCTGCCGGAG